TATATATATATATTTTCCCCTTCATTTTGACTCTTGTTTTCTCTTACTGTTATATCCCCCTCTAGTTTCACCTCTGAAATTATGCTCCAGGGAATGAGACATTGAGCTCCTGATGGAAGAGTCATACTGCTGATCTTAGAATATGTATTGTGTTGCTCAGGTCTAATTCTCACAATCTTTTGAGCCTATGGCATATACAATTTTCAGTCACCTTATACCGATTTCCATTTGCACTTGATTAGCTCATCCAGGGACCAGTGCTGCCATAAGCTGAAACTGGGTCAGCTATTCTGATTTTAATTGTTCAAACTGTAGGAACTGGTAATTGCCAGTAATAGTGCTGATCCAACTCAGACAAGTCAGCATAGTCCGACTACTAATGAAAGAAGGAAACAGTGGGAGAGAGGATGAGTAAGAAGGAGGTAGAAATCAATAAAAATGTGTGGGGTGGAATCTGTTCCCCAGCCTGCCCCAAAATTGTTGCTGGGGTGGGTGTGGGGAGAGAGAAATAGAAGGAAAAATGTTAAAATTAACATAGAAAGAACATTTCCTATGTTTGGTTCAGACATTTCCTAACTAAATATCCATGGTGGCTGTTGGTTTATGATACAGGCTGGGTTGACACATTACACAAAGCCATAGTTTGTTTTATCCATAGCTTGTTGAATAAACTGTAATGGCCAGATACAAGCATAATGCCAAATCCTATACAAGGATTTACTGCCCAGAACGGCCGGGTTCATATATTGTGCTAACCTGAAAACAAACAAGTTCCACTGTATCTTACTGCTTATTCTTTGTTTTAAACTACATTGGCTAGCCTTTTCTACTCTTGGCACTGTTTCTCTCTAGTGAAATTATTTCTCTGACTTATTCTATAAATATAGTGGGTGATGCAGCTTTTGTCCTGAGGAATGCTCAGTTGACAAAGGAAATTGCAGATGGAAACAATGCAGCCATTGATCAGGCTGACAGTGGACACATGCACAGAAGAGCTATAACGTGATGGTTATTAGTCCTATTTCCACTTAGCACATTTCCCCTGGGTTCAGCCCTCATCTCCCTTTTCTCATTCATCAATTTGCTTTCTCCATCTCACGCCTATGGCTTTGGCTTGTTCCATTTCTAATTTTGAACTCCATTAGTAAATGAGGCAGAAAGACAGGTGTAATTAAAATTGTGTCAAGAGGGATATGAACAAGGAGAAGGTGAATAATCTTTATAGTCTTGCTTCCTAGTATCATAGAATAATGTGAGTTTTAATACCATAAGATCATGTGATTAAACTAATCCAGATTGCAGTGAGATTTTTAGAAATTTGAAGGCAAAAGAGAAATGTTTCACCTGGGTTTTGTGTATGAATGTTCTGTTCTCTCTACCCACCCATCTACCCTCCAACATTTGAGGTGAAACTAAAATATAGGGCACTACTTTCTTTCTTATTAAGCTTCAGCTTACCAGAATTACATTAAGGGCATGTGATGTGTTTCCTCAGTCCATAAAATTGTATTTGCTGATTTATTTTCAGAATTTGAAGAGTGTATGTATGTATCTGTGTGTACAGACACATACATGACACAATGCTATATGAATAATAATTCATTTGTTAGATCTATATCCTTGAAGCAACATAAACAGAACTTTCTCCCTTTCCTCACCTCTCAGCAAAATAAATATCCTTGAGGTAGGTTAGGCTGAGAGGTACTGAAAGCCACCAAATGAGCTTTCATGGCTAAAAATCAACTTGAAGATGGTCTCCCAGGTCCAACATCTTAATCATTACACCATGCTGTGCCCATTGTGGAGTTGTGGGGCAGAAGCTGCAGCATCTGGGCAGAATAAACTTATCTGGTAGTGGCAGAATGCTGGGTTTGTGCAAGTAGAGCAAAAGGGAGTGTATTTCCTTTCTTGTTTCCAGAAAGGAAGCTGTCTTAACTTTAAGATTAGATAGATTTTATTATAGTTTTCTCTATTTGCTATACTTAATAAGGTTCTAAGTCTATGTAAGATCAGTATTTCAGTACAGGTAGTCCTTGACTTACAACCACAATTGGGACTGGAACTTCTGTCACTAAGCGATGTGATTGTTAAGTGAGTCACACTTGATTTTAAAAGCTTTTTTGCTGTGGTTGTTAAGCAAAACACCATGATTGCTAAGTGAATCACGTGATTTGCTTAGTCACATTTTGACTTTGCTTGTCTGAAGCGCCTTAGGAAGGTTGTAAATGGCAATCATGTGACTCTGGGATGCTGCAACCATCATAAATACATGCTGGTTGCCAAGCACCTGAATTTTGATCATGTGACCATGGGGACGCTACAATGGTGGTAAGTGTGAGGACTGGTTGTATGTCATTTTTTTGAGCACCGTTGTAACTTTGGTCATTAAATGAATGATTGTAAGTCAAGGACTACCTGTATTATACAGTACTGAGAACTGTAACAAGAAAGATATAGGCTGCAAGATTTCCCTTTGGTTTATATACTCTTCCTACCTAAAAGACAGCTCTCTCTGTCTATATATATGCCTACGTAGAAATACTGAATTTTTTTCTCATCTAATAGTTTGGGTAAAATTGTGACAGTTGTTAATAGCCTTTATGAAACATGAGAGAAATTGGGAGTTAAATTTGTGTGGCACTTTGCTCAGTATTTCACTTAAATAAATTAATTGTTAAATTATTTATGGCACTAACTATTAATCATGTAAAGTATTGTAAAAAATAGAAATTATTGTTCATAATTGAATGGTGAATAATCTTGAATGAAATCTTCTATAATCAATGTAATCCCAGCATGTTTTAAGGAACTAAAAAAAAAAAATCACTTTTAAATTTAAATAATGAATACTGCCAGAAGGAGAAAGCAAAATGAAGGAATATTTGAAATATAATGGAATACCTAACAGTGCAGGAAAATGTTCCCCAAACTCTGTCATTTTGATTCCCAGTGTCTTAATTTTATGACCTCTAGCTTTGTACATTCACTCACAAGCCTTATTGTGAAATCTAGCATAAGCTTTCTTGTGATACAAAATCACAGCTATTATCGTTACTTCTTTAATAAAATTTTAAAGTGCCATAGTTTAAAAGTATGAAGTGATGCTTTTCTCATCTATCCAATGAAAAAGATCTGTATCTATAAGCATGATGTGGGATTGCTTTTAGAAATACAATCTCAGGGTTAGTCCAAACTGCATTAAAATGGGTGAACCTGACCCTTGATGTAGTGATTCTATATAAATTGGATTTAAAGAGCCAATATACAGGACTACAGTCTAACACAGACTAGCATGAGAAATTCAGGAAGGTGTTTGGAAAGCTTGAATTTTAGAAACAAATGTCTTAATGAAAACAATCCTCTAGATAATATTAGCATGGTGAATTACATACCTGTAAGTCATAAATGGAAGAAGTTGCCTACATTCCATTCAGTTTCACATAACCTTAACTTTCTACTTTATATCTTCATTGCTTTAGGTTCTTGCCTCTGCACATTTCAATAAACTGATCTTCAGACTTCTTTCCCCTGATATTATATCTGGCTATACTCTTCACTCAGATCTTTTTGTCACTGTCCTGACTACTGGCATACAGATACGTGTAAGCTGAAAGTAGAGACTGGAATAAATGGCTACTAATATAATGAAACCAAGTTTTAACTTTTATACTCTTACAGCAGAGAAACAAATTGTATTCCCCAGTACAATACATTGGGGAAAGTTGTAGATGCTCTGATCACCTAGCTACTTTTCCTCCAGTCAAATATCAGATGATAACCGTCCCTTTGTACCAGCAAAACACTTGATAACCAAGACAGATGTATTTGTAAATAATTGTAAATGACTATTGGAGTCATTTTCAGTAAACACTTACTGCTTTTCTGATGTATCATATACTGTTCCTGTAAAATATGTACTGTATATGTATTTCTAGCTTGCTTTTCCCTTTGTTTCTACCACTTGCTGTACACTAGATCCATTGTCATGTCCATATCATGGGAACCAATTATTCATCATTCTTTCCCATCTGATTTTTCTACTTAGTTTGGATTATTTATGAGCGTAGTCTGGATTATTTATGTTACCATTTCACACCATTAGTAAATTTGTCTTCACAGGATGTTTGTCAGCTAACAAAGCAGCCTTCTTTATTCTCTCCTCTTTCCTTTCTCTCAACAGATTTCTCAAATCCAGCCTAAAGCTGAAATGAATGCCTTTTAGACGGAAGGAAGCTGAGTGCACTTTCACCACTAATACCAGAGTGAAAGGAAGAGCTAATCCAGCCATCCTGTCTGCTGTCAACATTTGGAACTTCACGTTGTGGGTTGGCCTCCTGTATAGCACATAGTTATTCTGTCATTCAGCATACATGGAGAAAGACATCAAAGTGTGTAAACCTGGCTAACAACACTGCGATTTTCAGAAGCAGACTGGAGGACAGTCGAATTGTAGAAGGATTATTTTGCATTTAGTTTCTAGGAATTTAACTTTTACCTGCACACAGGACAAAAACACAACATCTATTTTATTTTATTTTATTTCTTCTTTTTGCTCACACTCTCCCTTGTTTCTTCAGTTAGAAATGGGCCCGTGGACTAGAATGTGGCCCATGGACAGGTTTGCTTTCTTGAAATCCTGGCTTGTGTTTTTTCTGGGGCTGTATGTGCAGTTTTCCAAAGCACTGGCCTGTCCAAGCGTATGCCGTTGTGACCGAAATTTTGTCTATTGTAATGAACGAAGCTTGACCTCAGTGCCTCTTGGAATACCGGAGGGTGTAACCATACTCTACCTCCACAATAACCAAATTAATAATGCTGGATTTCCTGCAGAACTTCACAATGTCCAGTCTGTGCACACAGTCTACCTATATGGCAACCAGCTAGATGAGTTCCCTATGAATCTCCCCAGGAATGTCAGGGTTCTCCACCTGCAAGAAAACAACATCCAGACCATTTCTCGGGCTGCTCTGGCGCAACTCTTGAAACTGGAAGAGCTTCACCTGGATGATAATTCTATCTCCACTGTTGGAGTTGAGGATGGGGCATTCCGGGAAGCTGTTAGCCTCAAGCTTCTGTTCTTATCCAAGAATCACTTAAGCAGTGTACCAGTTGGCCTTCCAATGGACTTACAAGAACTACGAGTGGATGAAAATCGAATTGCCATCATATCAGACATGGCCTTTCAGAATCTCACAAGCTTGGAACGTCTCATAGTGGATGGCAATCTCCTTACCAATAAAGGCATTGCGGATGGCACCTTCAGCCACTTATCCAAACTTAAGGAATTCTCTATAGTAAGGAATTCATTAACATATCCTCCCCCCGATCTTCCAGGTACAAATCTACTTAGGCTTTATTTACAGGACAACCAGATATCTCACATACCACTTTCAGCCTTTTCAAATCTTCATCACCTGGAGCGACTTGATATTTCCAACAATCAACTCCGGATGCTGTCTAAAGGTGTTTTTGACAATCTTCACAGCCTGAAGCAACTGACAGCAAGGAATAATCCCTGGCTATGTGATTGTAGTATTAAATGGGTTACTGAATGGCTCAAATTAATTCCTTCCTCCATCAATGTTCGAGGATTCATGTGTCAGGGACCAGAACATGTCCGAGGTATGGCTGTCAGGGAACTCAACATGAACATGTTGTCATGCCCCACAACTACCCCAGATCTCTCATTTGTTACCCAAATTCCCACAACATCTTTGCCAACCACAATGGCCCCTACTTCATCACGCTTAACCCCAAGTAAGAAACACATTCCTCTTGCCCCTACTATAGCCACACTCCCCAATGTGCCTGAGAGGGATGATGAAGAAAAAATGACCCTTCCTACTGTTGAACGATTTCAGCTGTTTATCCACATTGTGAATGACAGTTGCATCCAAGTGAGCTGGCACTCCCTCTTTAATGTGATGGCCTACAAGCTTACCTGGGTTAAAATGGGTCATAGTCTGGAAGGAGGCATAATTCAGGAACGGATAGTTACTGACAAGAGGCAGAACATCAGCTTGACAAATCTAGAGCCCAAATCCACATATCGGATTTGTTTGGTTCCCTTGGATGATTTTAATAATTACCGCATTGGTGAGGACACCGTGTGCTCTGAAGGCACCACGAAGGCTTCCCTATTGAATAACGGAAGCAACTCAGCTTCTAGCCATGAGCAGACAACTTCTCATAACCTTGGTTCTCCATTTCTGTTAGCAGGCTTGATTGGGGGGGCTGTGGTATTTGTGCTGGTGGTTCTGCTCAGCATCTTCTGCTGGCACATGCACAAAAAAGGACGCTACACCTCTCAGAAGTGGAAATACAACCGGGGGCGACGGAAAGATGACTACTGTGAGGCAGGAACCAAGAAGGACAACTCCATCCTGGAGATGACAGAAACCAGCTTTCAGATTGTCTCCTTAAATAATGATCAGCTCCTTAAAGGAGATTTCAGATTGCAGCCTATATACACCCCAAATGGGGGCATTAACTATACAGACTGCCACATCCCCAACAATATGCGATATTGCAACAGCAGTGTCTCAGACCTGGAACACTGTCATACGTGATAGTGAGGTGTGTGGTGAGGCAATATTACCACAAGCAAAAACCCAGAGGGAGCAAGCAAAATCTATCTACTCACACACAAACCAACAAAAATTACATTTGATAAATGTTACACAAATGCATTTGTGCATTTGGATACTCTGTAATTTATATGGTGTACTATATAATGGGATTTAAAAAAGTGCTATCTTTTCTATTTCAAGTTAATTGCAAACAGTTTTGTAACTTTTTGCTTTTTAAATCTTTAAAATATATATAAATATATATAAATATATATATATTGCAGAAGTACTGTACAGGGTTGTACAATAAGAACCCAATGCCATGGCAAAGGAAATACAAAACAAAATGCCTCATTCTTCAAACATTCAATACTTTGGTTTTGGAGCTGTTTGGGGGATTTTGGCTCGTATATCCATCACTAGTTTAGGAGATAACTTTGTATTACAAGAGGAATCTTTAGGAATGCCTAAGTTGTGCTACATGAGAGGAATGCAGTTTAACTTCCTTGGGGTGATTCAAAAACTGGAATAACACTTGTAAAAATTAGACTGGCCACTTTGCCTGCCTCTGTCCCTTTAGGGTCCCTTTAGTCAGCGGGTAAAAATAGGAACTTCCTGGATATCACACATAACAAACCTGTATCCTTTGTTTGGTTAACACTTTCTTCAAAAAGTATATCACTTGTTTATTTCTCCTCAGAAAATCTGGTATGGAATTGGTGAAGGCATCTGCTCTTAAATTTTCATCAAAATGGGAACACTTTCTGGCCGGCCTTATCAAAAAATTTTAAACTGTATCTAGACTTTTCTTTTTTCTCCAGAAATGCATTTCTGAAGTCCCAGTGAAATCACATTAGGTCATAAATTTCAAGAATTCTATTAGCAATCCAGACTACCTTGGGCAGAATACAATAATTACTTCCATTCTAATCACTAAAAGTTTATTAAACAAAAAGTCAAATGTGGATCCAAATGGTGTAAAAGCCAGTGAAAGGTTTCCCATTCCCACTTTCTCAGCTCCACTTTCTTTGGTTAATTCAGTGACTTAAATTGCTCCTCTTCAAGGAGAATATAAACCCTAGGTTGCATCAAAGTAAGTAAACATTCCTGTCTAAAGCATCCCAGTGTTTTCCTTTGAGATAAAATGATAATGTCTCCAATTTGAAAGAGGGAGGGACAGAAATCTGGATGGCTTGTAGTCTTGTGCATCCATTTGGCATTATTTGCCAAACCGATTTTGCCAAATGCATAACTTGCATTATTTCAGGTTAAGGAAATGTCCTCAACTTTATCTGGTTCCGTTCCACATTATTTTGTTCAATTGTGTACCTTTGCAAAAGGACTCCCTGGGATTCTAAGCTGTACAGTTCTATTAATACGGGAACATGACAAAAACAAAACCCACCCCCTTAGTGATAGAAGAGGAACAATTTCCAGTGCATCATATGGAACATCGTATGTTATTGTATGAAGAACCTAGTGCAGCTCTTAGTATTAGGCAAGGATCCACTGATGGTAGATTAGTTAACACTTTTTCCCCAATATATAGTCTCTGCATGAAGTTGAGGACACAACTGTATGATGGTTTCATATACTGGTGTGACTGGGATATTAGCCAGAGAATAAGATGTTGGCTGGAGATTATGGAATTATAGTCCAGTAAATGTAGAGGGTACCAGGTTGGAGAAGGCTGGACTATACTACCCATATTTTATTTTATTTTATTTATTTTTAATCAATAAATTAGTGTGGCCTTCCCTTGCACTCTTCTCTATTTTTTTAATCTAATTAAATTCACTCTCTCCAGTCACGTGCAGAATACTTGAGAATTAAGCACAATTATCAACTAATTCATTTTTAAAAACTACTACTTCTCGTTCTCCTCCTCCTCCACATTCATGTTAATTCAAAATAGGGGCTTAAAAACTGTTTTCTAATAATCAGAGATGACCTACATAACTAGTCATCTCAATAATATACCCTTTAATTAAAGGTTAACAAAAATCACCTTTGAAAAACAAGGGTTACTTAAGGTATGGAAATAAGAAACGTGGTCAGTATGCCCTCTCAGTCTACTTAATCTGTTATTAATCACAAAACTTGATCATGCCTACAGCTATATTAATGGTTGACAACATTCAGATGGATCAGCACTTTGGTGTAAGATGGCAGAGTCCAATAATTCCCTAAGGATTTTTTTCATTTCCCAACCATCCTTCAACATCACTTTTGAATTTCCATTCTTTTGCTATTTTCTCCAGCTATAAACAGGCATTTTAGGTGACCTGTGTGGATACTGTATCAGTGTAATTGCTGAAACTTTGCTAACTAAACGGCTGCCATATGGTTTGAAATGGTCTAATTTTAGCTAGAAAACTGCATGAAAACTGCTTTTTTCCCCCCTTCTGTTGACAGAAGATATTGTTTGAAAGTTAAGAAGAAAGACACACGTAGGTCTATGAAAAAGGTAGAAAGAAAAGGCTTTCCTGCAAGGAGGATGTCATCCTAATGGAATGGGGGTAGCTTCAGAATAGTTAAACTAATTCTTTATAGATGTCAGATAATGGGATGTCCTCCAAACTGAATTCCTTCATAAGACTAAATCTTATATCCAGGATAAGGAATATATGTCTCTAAATTTAAGTTGCTGAGAATAACAGCTGTTACTGTCATGTTCCCCTAATCACAGGCATAAAAATATGATAGACTAGCTAGGCTTTTGATCTAATTGTTTTCTAGTTACGTTTTTATATATCATGAGCATGATATAAGAAATACACACAGAGACAATCTTATCAGTAATGAAATGGAGGGTCTAAAAATTAGATCATGTATCTGTGTTGCAATAGATATGGCAGCCATTTACATGGATGAAAGAAAGTAAATATGATGTTGAGCAATGCCAGTAGGATGGCATCTGAACCTGTTTTATCCTGGTAAGCTCTGTCAGGATTTTACCTTTTCCTTTGCACTCCTGGTTGTTGTCAGGAGTGCTGTGATTTTTCAGCCAACACTAGGAAGAAATTCTCTGCCCCATCTAAAGTCTGCTGTTTGAACCTTGAGGTAGCTTCATTCTGTTCAGATAGTGTAAGCATTTATTAAGTTGATCACCTCTCAAGAAAGTTACAGTTTATTCCAAATAAGGTCTTAACTAACTAGTTTTGGTTGAACTTTAAAAATAGTTTTTCAAGTCTCAATGCAAATGCTTTCTTCCTAGTGCTTCTGAGGATGGGTAGTTTTCAGTTGGTTTCTTCCCTATGAGCTCCTCCTACTTTTAGTTTTCATAAGATAATAGATGAATGCCTGCATAATTATTTACGTTACCTCCCATACATACCCCTCTCAAGTCTTTTATAACACACTTAATTCTCAACCCAGGTTAATGAAGCACAATTACTGTGTTTATATAACATGTGATAGCCAAACAATGACACTGTAGGATAGCTAAAAGTTCAAATAACATGCTAAGTCAAAAGTTGAGTTTCCTACAACTTTCTGAATTGAAAACTATCGAAGCCTATTTCAGATTAGCCAAATATGTTGTGTAAACCCAGCCAAAGAGACCTATCACAACAGTTTAAAAACATCAGGATTGCTTTAATCCACTATTTAAAAACTTCCCCTGGATACATTTACTGTTTTATCTTTCAGATAGGTTCGTGATGGTCATAACTTAATGGCTTTAGTGCATTTAACGCTTTGTTTAAAAACAGCTACTCTATGCAGAAAGTTGACAAGCAATAAGATTTGAAAGATGACTGTGAATCGACAGCTGGTCATCAGGTCATCATTGATGCTTTTGCTAGCAGAGTGTCAAGACCACTTAGTGTGGTCTGAGAGTCCATTTCAGAATCCAGAAAGTGTCCTGATCTAATTGGATCATTCCAGAGAATGCTGGAGTCATGGCTTCAACTTGCTTTGGTTAACTGTAAAAAGAAAAATAGGAGCTCCACAGTCCTGTAGACTGAATGGAAAAAAGAAATGATTGCAACTTTTTCAGCAGGATGGGATAACATTTATAGGCATAAAGACCATTATGAGGGGCTGTTGCCCAATTTCATAGATTTATAGAAACACTGATGGTGGGGAATGACTTTGCCAAATTTCGGATAGGTCTGTTAAGTAGTTTTTTTGTGCAAAGGAACAGAAGTGTGTAAGCAAAGCACATGACACTTTCTAAAAGCAGTAGAATTGACTGTTAGAGTTTGAACCACTATACAGAATTAGCTCACTATTATTTTCCATAAAGTAAATCAGTTTAGGATAGCTTAGCTAGCTAATGCCATGCAAAAACACAGGCTCACAAGAGAATGAGAGACTAGATGGAGCCAATGATAACATTAAAGATTTCTCTCAATTCCCATGAGATTGTGTGATTTGGATGAAATTTGCTCAGATTGTATAAAAATGGGGATCAAGCACTAACGATCTCAGATCACACAAAACGTTGATGTGCAAGTGAGTAGCATTTGTTACAGCCTCACTAAATAGTCATTTTGTGGCTTCATTGTGTTTCAGAGGTAACACTGAATTTCCCCAAATTTAAATGATACAGTATCTCCCATAGATAACATAAGGGAAATGATTGTATTAAAGATTTTGGGATACTTCTGATTGGCCAGCCAAAATCATACCTACTAGATAGGGAGAGTAGAAGCTAATTCTGATGACAAAATAGCTAGCTGTTTTTCACATATACAAGAGCTAATCTTTTTGGATAGAAGCATATATTAACTCTGGTTGCTGAGTGGGATAATGCAAAAAGTAATATAATGTGTCCTTTCATCCATCCATCCATCCATCCATCCATCCATCCATCCATCCATCATCCATCCATCCTGTGGAAGTGGTTACAGTCATACTGAGAGATGCACCTAGTCTCCAAAGTTAAACTATCTTGTATGTACCAAGAGCTTCTTACAAATCCCACATCATCTCAGAGGATAAGCAGAATGGGACCAATACCTTTCAGGCATGATGCCAGCACAGCTGAAAAAACTTGTGAATCCAATGGTGCATCACTTTTTAAGTTTCAGGTATCTGCCATAGTACCCCAGGGTAAAAGTCATCTTTAGAAGAACTATGTATGCAGCCAGAAAATGTGGGACTGTGCTGCTAGTTCCATCTCCTAAATCAGCATGTGCTGCCTCCTGGCACTTTCTTATTTCGCAA